ACCTCTACTACTACTACTACTACTACTACTACTACTACTACTGCTACTGCTACTGCTACTACTGCTACTACTACTCCTCCTAGTGCTACTACTACTATTACTACTACAACTACTACTACGACGACTACTACTACTACTACTACTGCTACTGCTACTCCTGCTAGTACTCCTCCTAGTAGTACTACTACTGCTGCTACTACTACTACTACCACTACTACTACTACGACTACTACTACTATTTCTACTACTACTACTACCACCACTACTACGCCTATTGCTAATACTACTCCTACTGCTAATTTACTATCACTACTACTACTACTACTACTACTACTTCTACTACTACAGCGACTACTACTACTACAACCACTACTACTACTACTACTACTACTACTCCTACTACTATTATCACTACTACTAGTACTGCGACTACCACTACTACTACTACTACTACTACTACTACTACTACTACTACTACTACTACTACTACTACTAATACTGATATTACTACTACTACTACTACTACTACTACTACTACTACTTCTACTACCTCTACTACTACTACTACTACTACTACTACTACTACTACTACTACTACTACTACCAGTACTACTATCACTACTACTACTACCACTACTACTACCGCTACCACATCACTACCACGTCCACTACCACAGCCACAACCATTACCACTATCATTTCCACCACCATTACCAATAGCAGTACTACAACGCCTCGAGCACACCGAGATCAGACATTCCCGGGTATGTTTTTTCGGAAACCGAATGGTCACACGTAAGCCGACCAGTTGGCTTTCGAAGACTCTGCAGCCCGACCCCGCTCGAAACATTCGCAAAAGAAGCGCCGCAGGAATCGTATATTCCCCGCTGCTACCGGGGAATGTTCGTCTTCCCCGGGGAATGTTCGATCTTCCCGGGCTAAGTATCGATCGCATATCATGGCGGGGGCCACGAGAGCTCCCCCGATGTCATGGCGCCTTCTCTTACTTCCATACGTCCAGCCCCCCCCCCCCTGGGCCGCGCACGTGCCCCCTGCTCGGCGGCGCGCCCGGGGGGGGGGGGTCTCGGGGGGCGGCCGAGGGGGAGCGACTCCAATCGGTGCGGTTGCGCCGGGGTGCGCTTTGCGAGCTGCTTCGTGGCGGCCTTTCCGGGGCCCTTGTGAGAGACAGTGTCGTGACTGTCGTCGTTTCGGGCGACAGTGTCATCCCCGATGCGTGCTCCATTGTGCCAGAAGGAGCGACAGCGTCCTGTGATCCGGTCGCATGGAGTGACAGCGTCATCCGTTTCCCGGGGGCGGGAGGGGCAGATAAGACGGGAGGCAAACTGCACCCGTCGCAAACCGCACCCATTGTAGTCGCCGAAAGGGGGGGGAGGACTATGGGTCAAGCAGTGGCGAAGCGTCCTGGCTCGCGTGTAGCCCTACCAAACAATGTTCTGAGAACCTTTTGTGGTTTCCACGCAATGTTCTTGGAACATTTCTGGCGGAGTCTGTCTTGTTTGATTACATCGGGTTTATGTTCTAAGAACATGTTTTGGTGTTCTTAGAACGCTTCGGGTTCTAATGACATTTCGTGGTAGGACTATGGAATGCCAGGACGGTCGGTCCCTGCTCAAATGAGGTTGAGTCAGGCACGTCCCTCTGCAGGAGGAATATGTTCGGGAAACGTAAAGAAAACTGGGCTGAAGATTCGGGATTCTTCGAGTGTTAACTAATCCTGGGGGCAAAGCTTCCGACACAAGTCTAACCATTCGCGGGCATTTTGTTTGACATTGCTTCTTCCAAAATCCATATGTGGCCAACTTGAGGAAGTGTAGAATATGTTTTCGAATTGGGTCTTTTGGTTGAAGATAGCGGCACTTAGCGGCGCGAGCGTTTGCGGCCCCGAGTCTCATTCACGGAGGTCGGCGACCGCGAGCCCTGATTTACATGCCCGTGGCCGGAATGGGGTTACACGGCCACTAAGTGCCACTACATGGTAATTCTCGGAACCACTAACGGCCACTAACTGCCACCAGATGGTAATTTTCGAAACCACTAACGGCCACCAAGTGCCACTAAGTGGTAGATCTCGGGCTACGAATTGCCGCAACATGTTATTCTATTTCTCGGAGCCACTAGCGGCCACTAAGTGCCACTAAATGGTAACTCTCGGAGCCACTACCGGCCACTAAGTGCTACTAAATGGTACTTGTCGGAGCCAGCAGCGGCCGCTAGGTGCCACTAAATGGTAATTATCGGAGCCGTTAACGGCCACTAAGTGCCGCTAAGTGCCACTACACGGCCGCTACATGCCGCTAGCGGCCACCAAGTGCCACTAAATGGTAATTCTCGGCGGTCGCGATGGTCAGTCCGAAGTTCCCCAGAGAACCCACATAATCATGGCGGAGGCCATGATACCAACCCCGATTTCACTGCGCCTCTGTTTATTATAATAAGACATCCCAGAATGTGTGCTCTGGCACGGCCTGGGATCGCCAGGTCGCAGCAAGAGCATTGATGCGCAGCGTCGAAATTTCAGGAAAGGTGCTTTGACACGGTTGAAGATATGAAGCTATTTTGAAGGATGTTTTGTGGGCCGTCTTGGGTGGGCTGCCGGACAGCCGAAAAGGCGAGAACCTCACCATCCTTCGAATACCCAAGGGAACTCAATTTGTTTCGCCTCGTGAGCTCTCCAGAAGCGCCTCTTGGAGCTCTCTTGGGCCGTCTTGGGGGACTCTTGATCTGTCTTGATGCTGCCTTGAAAGCTTCTTGGGCCGTCTGGGGCCATCTTGGTGTCATCTTGGTTACCTTGAAAGCAGTCCCGGAAGCCATGCGGCTCCTAAGAAGGTATCAAAACAGATCAAGAGGCCTTCAAGGCGGCCCAGTAGGTCTCCAAGGGGCCCTCCAGGAGAGCCCGAAGAGGCCAAAGCCATTTCTGCCTTAGGTGTTTCAAGGATTCTGAGGATTCTGAGGTTCCTGATTCTTAGGTTCTGAGGTTGGGTTTCGGACCGCTCAAGATAGCCCACGACGCCTCTCTGGGCCGTCTTGTTGCTCTTGGAGCGTTTCGAGGCCGTCTTGGGGCCAACATTAGGAGACCCTTGGGCGCTCTCTGGGTACTCTTGGGCCAACTTGGGGTCCTCTTGGGTGCCCATTGGGTTCTTTTGGAGCTATCTTGATGGGCCTATTGGTCCGTCTTGGGAGGTCGGGGATCCGAACAGGCGAGAACCTCGACATCCTTCAAGCCCCTGAGGAAAATCAATGGTTGTTGCCCCTCTCGGGCCGTCCAGAAAGGCCTCGTGGAGCTTCTCTGGCCGTCTTGGAGGCCTCTTGGAGCCCGCTTGGGCCGTCTTGGGGGCCTCCTGGGCCTTCTTGAGGCTGTCTTGAGAAGCTCTTGAGCTATCGTAGGTCATCTTGAGTTATCTCTTTGTCGTCTTGGCTGCCTTGGAGGCTCTCTTGGAGGCCATTTTGGCCGTCTGGAGGCTGAAGAGATCGCCAGGAAGCAATTTCACAGGGTTGCGGTCTTCGAGGGGTGAGTGGTGAGGAGGGTGGGGTCCCTCCTCCTCCCCTCATCCTCCCCCTCCTCCTCCTCCTCTTCGTCCTCTTGCTCCTCCTCCTCCCCCTCCTCCTCTTTCTCCTCCTCCTCTTTCTCCTCCTCCTCCTCCTCCTCCTCCTCCTCCTCCTCCTCCTCCTCCTCCTCTCCTTCGTCCTAGAGAAAGCACAGACAACAAGCAGGCCGTTCCGGCACATTGGCAGATGCTCGTCGCTCGTGATCGCCCCCCGTCTCCACGCCCCCCTTCTGCCGCTTGGGGCCTGCGCGCGCGCACATCTTTTGATATGGCGGGGTTGCTAAAGGTGCATTTCGACATCGTTTTGCAGCAGAGGCGGATTGAAGAGACAAAGCGAGGGAACACACCGCTGCGTTTCTCTCGTTTTCCCTTGTTGGGGCATCCTGGGAGACCCTCGTCGCCACCGCTGGATTCGCCCCATCTGTACCTCTGTGTTTCCCCAATGCCGAGAACGGCCACATCCTGCGTCAGCTCCTCCGGCGTCGAAGCGGTGAGGTCCGCGACGCTTTTTCGCCCGAGCGCTGCGAGCGCACGGCATGCCTGGCCCTTTTTAAGACAATTGTTCACCACCTACCAAACCAACCCAACCCAACCCGAAGGCCTCAACTTGCCCTCCATTTCCAGTGGGGGGGGGGGTCGGGGAACATCGAAAAGACACGCATGGAGCCCATACCCCCCCAACCCGAAATTCGGGTCTTCGGGTTGGGCTGGGGTGGTCTGGCAGGTAGTCAGCTGCTGCTGTGCCAGAGGCCGTGAGCAGGTCCGTGTGGCGACGCCCGCGGCGGCGGCGGCCGGCGGGCGCGACACGCAGCCCGTCGTTGCTCACCAGGGCACCCCCTCACGCAGCCCGAGGGCCTTCGCAGCCTGCGAGGTGGCCCGCTCGCGTCGGCGTCGGGGCTGGACCCGAACGCTGTTTTGGGCGATTTCGTGGGCCGTTTTCGTTTCGACTTTGTTTTGCGGTAAAGGCGGATTGAGCACAACGAACACAAAACACACAACGAACACAACGAACACAAAACGAAAACAAAAAACAAACGAAACACAACGAACACAAAAAACACAACGAAAACACAAAACGAAAACTCAACGAACACAAAAAACACCGTTTAGGTTCAGCCCTGGTCGGCGCTAGGCGAGCGGGCGCGGCGCGGAGTCCAGGGTGCCTTCCGGGAAACAAGGCTTAAGTCGGGCCTGTCCCCCTACAGGGGGATTTTCGACGAAAAATACAAATACCCCAAAAATAACCAACAAATAATACAATAGTCAGGGGAACATGTTTTGTATATTTTTTGGCCTTTTTGTAGTATTTTGGGGTATTTCCCATTTTTCTTTCAAAATCCCCCTGTAGGGGGACAGGCCCGACTTAAGCGCAAACTTTGGGAGGCCCGCGCGGATTTTTTTATTTCTCGCATCGGCGCTGGAGCCTGCTGGCGCGGCGCCGCCCCTGGCGCGCGGAGCGCGCCGGGGAGGGGGGTCCGGCGCCGGTCCGAAATGTCCGCGAGGACTTCCGGAAGCTGATGTTTATTCCAGATTTGGTAATAAAGGGAGGGGGGTCTGGGGACGGTGTTTTGGAGGGTTCTCCCACGGGGGGGGGGTCTGAAATGGCTTGTCTCGGAGGGTCCAGACCCCCTCCCTTTTATTACGAGATCTGGAGTATGCCATTGCCTGTTCCTCTAGCCATCCGCCGTCACGATAGCGAGATGCCGTGCCGCGATCCGGGCGGACCGAGCAGCCTTGACATCCTACCAGCTCTCCGGCCAAGCAGGGACAAAAACTTCGGAGTCCTAGAGATTGACACCAACACCAAGATCGGTGGTGTTCCTCCACCGAGGGAAGACGATCCCGATCTCGGTGATGGTGGTAATATTCTGGCTTCCAAGGTGACCGAAATATTACCACCAACACCGAAATCTAAGATCATCATCTCCCTGTGGAGGCAAACCCCTGTGCTGGTGTTGGTGCCAATTTCCAGGCCTCCAAAAACTTGGGCCGCGGGTGCGCGATCCATGCGGGCACCGGAAGCCTCAACTCGGCGGTCGACGGTCGATCCGTGCCTGCCGATGCTGCTGCTGCCCCCCGCCCGCTCTGTGCGCCAACGGGAGCAGGGCAGGGATGGAAAAAGACGCGGCCTCGGAGGCCAGGAAGTCCTATCCACATCCCCGCTCCGGCTCCTCGTGGGGTCGGGGCGCGAGCAGGGGGTCCCACGGCAAGCGCCCGTGAAACGCGTTCTCTCCGATCTTCGAACCTGGATCCTCGAAGCTCGACCCTCGCCCCTCCTCGAGGGCGTGTGGACAAAATGTCGGTCGTCTATCTCAGGATGCCCTGTCCGAGGACCGCCGGGGGTGGTCACGCTGGCAGGTCGAGGGCGCGAGGGTCCGTCACTCCTGCCAGGCGGACAGTTGATGAGCCTGTTTTCCACTACCACCAGAAGTTGGAGGGACGAAGGAGGAGGAGGAGGAGGAGGAGGAGGAGGACCCCCCTCCAACTTATGGGGGTGGTGGTGGTGGAAAACACGCCCATCAGACAGTGGCAAGTGCACACTGACACCGACCCCGGCCAGGCCCATCCTGGGCCCAAGATCTGTGTACACCGGGAGCGGTCAAGAGGGGGGTGATGATGAGGGGGGGTGGATATCATGGCGTGGGCCATGATACTTCCTCAGATTTCATGACGCCTATTCTTATTCCATTACGTTCCTTGCCCCCCCTCCTCTGGGCAGCGCACAGGTCGCCAGCCCTGATTTGGGCCCCCTCCTCTTGGACACCCCTCTCTTGGCCTCCCCCGAGTATGCGCCGATCTTGGCCAGGTCAGCAACACGTATGCATGCACCGACCCCATCCCCCGTCTGCAAACCAGGATCCGTGGCGGCCGGAAGGAAGTTTCTGGGGGTCATCTTGTGGCTATCGGGGACCTCGGTCGGAAAGTCTCTGGATCTCATTGTGTGGCCATCTTGAGTTGAAGCGTGGGGAAGCCAAATTGACACGAGACCGAGACCCACGTGATCGTGGTAACGTTTGGCTTTGGGGGCCCTCCGCGGAGTCATCTTGGAACCTCTGAGCAATCTCGGAGCCAACATTGGTCATCCTGGGCCTTTTGGCGGGCCGTCTTGACCAGTCTTGGATGCGGCAGGTGATTCATTTGTTCCCAGAAAGCGATCGACGACGCCTACGGCGAAACAACGCCGACGTCTGCCTTGAGAACATGTTTATGTGGCCGAACGTTGCGCCAACACCTGGTCAAGCTATTGGACTGTCTAGCTGCCCGCGGCAAGTACTGCCACTTCTCTGAGTTGTTTTGGGACCTGAAGGATCTTGGTGGAGTCCATCTTCTTCAGAAGCCCTCTTGGGCCAGCTCGGGGCTCGCTTGGGCCCTCCAGGAGCCCTCTTGGGACTCTGTGTTTGTCATTCTGGGTTTGCAAGACCGCAAGTGGGCGGATCGTTGGCCAAAGTGGATAGAAAGCTAAACACATTGAGCTATCCTGGTGACGGACCCAAACATATGCAGGTGCGATTGCCGCAAGGCAGGTGGTATGTAAAAAGGAGGGGCAGGTCCCTATGGGGCCACGAAACATGTGAAGGGTATACCGGAACGGGTGCTGGGCCGCCATGCACCCCCTGGCGCTGGATTCGTCAGTAGAGCTTTCTATGGGGCCACCGGACATGGGGGCGGGGCCGCCATGCGGACCCCTGGGGCATTCGGTGGAGCTCCCCGTGGGGCTGCGAAGCGTGTGAGGGGTGTGCCGGAATTGGTGCGGGGCCGCCATGCGGACCTGCAGTTGTGGCCATCGGTGGAGCTCTCGACGCATCATGGGAGTTGTTGGGTGCCTCTTGAGGCAATGCTGGGCTATCTGGGCGGCCCCGGTGGCTTGGCTTCTCCTTCTCACTTTCCCCCGGGCTCGCCGCTGAGCCTACATCCCCCCTCGAAATCGAGCTCAAGTTTTTCCCGCGACTCGGCGGCGCCCCAGGACCCCAAAAGCTCAGTATTCGCGCCGAGATTGGCGACTGCGGACACAATCGTCTGACCCCGTGTGCCGCGTTTCGCGTGTCGACCAGCATAAGAAATTTGTGCTTGATTTCGAGGAGGGCTGTGGGCCGTTTCGGACGTCATATAGTGAGCGGCTTGAATAAGGAACATTTGCTTTTCAAAAGGCGCTCGGTCGTTCCGTAGGCTTGCATGCGTTACCTACCGTTCCTCATGCGTTCTTTATTATTTAATGTCCCTTATGCGCGATTCCTCTGACAAAAAGAAGCGCCGTTCCTTATGTATCGTTCCTTAGGTAAGGCCGATGATTGTACTGGGCATCCTGGACGCCTGGAGAGGGTATTAGGGAGGCGAGGGGCCTCTCCGGCGCCCTCGGGAGAGGGGTGCGACGCACGCGGCGCGCTGCCCGTGCCACGGGGGTGGGTATTTGCTCATCTGCCACGCCTCAACGTGCCATTGGGCACGGTGGCGGATCTAAGTGCTCCCCCTGCCGTTCTGGGAAGCCTGGGGGGAGCTCGTGGGGGAGGGGGAGGAGGAGGAGGGCAGGGGGGGCCGAGGAGGAGGAGGAGGAGAAAGATCATGAGGAAAAGGCCTCGTGGGGCCCTCTCGGGGCTCCCTGGGCTCCCGGGGGGTCTTAGGGTTCGCTTGGCCCGTCTGGCGAGTTCGGATGCCGTCTTGGAGGCCTCTGCGGGCTCTTTTGGAGACCTTCTTGGGCGCTTCAGGGCCGTCCTTGGGGACGGCCTGTCTTGGGGCCCTCTTGGCCCGTGTTGGGACCCTCTTATGGTGATGATTATTTCGGCTTGCGGCTACGGTCGGACCGAGGTGTAAGATCGAGGTCGATTCGGGGAGGGTACCCCAGGGTGTGTTCGTGTTTGTTGGATGTTCTTGTGCATCCAGGCGGAGGGCACCATCGAGTGATCGTATTGCTTGGAGCGTTTTGGCCGATGGTGTCTCATGTTATTGAAGGATGTTCTTCTGTCCTAGGTCCGACCGTATTTTGTCTTGGGGCTACATCGCGGGCCTCAGGGGCCTTACGCGAGAACGCTAAGTGATTCACTGACATGCAGACCATTATTGTCTGGACATCTTCGGACTCTCTTGGAGGGTCTCCTGGAGCTCTCTTGGGTTGTATCGGGGGCCTCTTGGGGGTTGGATCGGAGGCCTCTTTGGCCATCGTGAGGTTCTTTGTAGCGCTCTCGATTCATATTGGACTATCTTGCGGCCATCTTGGCGCAACCTTGGGCCATCGTGGCCGTCTTCGAGGCGTCTTGGTGCCGTCTTGTAGGCCATAGTGGCCATCTTGACAATAATTTGGACACAGACGCAGCCCATGGGGTGCAATTGTTTCTGTGGGACTGGCGGGATGGGCCACGGACATGTTTTGGAAAGAACAAGAGATGCATAGTCTGACATGCCAACACCCTTCGCAGGTTACGACGGGAGCGGCGGATGACGGAAAGAGCGAGGTACGAGCGAGAGACGTTCCGCAGGGGGCGAAGTTTTCTAGGGACTTGGGAAGGGGGCAAGCGGGGAAACAAAAGTCTAGTGTTGCCTTTGTCCCTCGTGTTTGTTTCTAGTGAAGCGGCTCCCGGGCGGCTCACATGGTCCGTTTCCTTACATGTTATGGAGTGACCCGGCCCGAGGGCCCCAAGATTGCCCAAGAGGGCCCCACAACGGCTTCGGAGGGCCCCAAGACGGCCCCAAAAGAGCTTCAGCTGGCCTCCAGACGGTCCAAGAGAGTCTCGAGACGGCTCCAGAGGCTTTCAAGAAGGCCC